AACGTGGATGGTGTGCGGGATGCCTCCGATCCTAACGTTATATGGAGTATTCAGCAAGACACGCCTCTTCAAGGAGAGGGGACAGCTCCAGTTATTGAGGCAAGCGACTGTGGCAGGTCAATAACTGAACCAGTTCTCATTGAGACGGGCCTTTCATCGGCTGCCACAGAGCCAAATGAGTCACAGGCCGGGACCGCAGCTAAGCTGGCCTCCCGAAACTCTGGTCAATTACCTGTGGCGGTAGTGAATCCATTGGCCATCACCTCGACGGAGCTGAGCGCCAAGCAGAGAGAAGACAGTACTCTCCAAAGATGTTTTGAAGAGGTTGGGAGCAAAGTTGCTACAAGATCAGCTGACATTGAGTTCACACTGATCAACGGAATTTTGTTTCGACGGTACAAATTGCCATCAAAGAAGGAGATGGAGCAGCTCGTTGTTCCAAGCGATCTCCGGGACTTTGTGCTGAAAATGGCACACGAGGGAATTCTCGCTGGACACCAGGGAATTAAACGCACGACAGATAGAATCCTCGAGGAGTTCTACTGGCCAGGAGTTCAAGGAGACGTTACTCGATTTGTAAAGTCGTGCGACACCTGCCAGAGAACTGTCCCAAAGCACCTAGTAGGCCGCGTACCTTTGGGCAATATGCCAGTCATCGAAACACCATTCCAGCGGGTCGCCATCGACATTGTGGGACCCCTATCTCAAACATCTGAGAAGGGAAACCGCTATGCACTCACCATGGTTGACTTCGCGACGCGCTACCCTGATGCGGTTGCGTTACCAAGCATTGAAACCGAGAAAGTCGCCGAGGCTTTACTAGAGATGTTTTCACGTGTGGGATTTCCCAGAGAAATCATTAGCGATCGCGGCAGATCGTTCATGTCTGGGCTCATGAGGGAGTTCAGCCGGTTGCTTTCGCTTAAACATATGCCAACCACGCCGTACCATCCTATGGCAAACGGCCTTGTGGAACGTTTTAACGGCACGCTGAAACGAATGATCCGACGAATGTGTCAGGAAAGCCCCAAGAGCTGGGACAGATACTCGGCACCACTGTTGTTTGCATATCGTGAAGTGCCACAGACCTCCCTCGGGTTCGCACCTTTTGACCTACTGTACGGAAGATACGTCAGAGGATTCATGGCCATATTGAAAGAGCTCTGGTCAGGAGAGAGTATCGACGACGAGACAAAGACTTCGTACGGCTACATGGTCGAGCTTCGGAAGCGCTTAGACGACACGTGCCGAATAGCCCAAGAGCAGCTCAAGAAAGCGAAGATGCCACAGAAAACCTATTATGACAAGAAGACAAGGAGGCGCCAGCTCACTATTGGAGACAGGGTCCTGCTCCTTTTGCCATCCGACACCAACAAGCTGATCCTGACCTGGAAAGGCCCCTTCACTGGTTTAGAGAGACGAAATGACGTTGACTACGTCATCGACCTTGGAACAAGAACCAGCTTGTTCCATATCAACATGCTGAAAAAGTACGAAGAGAGGACAATCGTTGTTCAGACACCTCAACGAGCTTCGGTCGCATTCCATGATGGGAATGTTGAGGAAGAAGACCTCCCGTGTGCAACACTGCAACCAAGCGAAACTTATCGAGACGCGAACATATCAAGGGAGCTGACTGCCGATCAACGAGCACAAGTTTCCAGACTCCTGACAACACACCAAGAAAGTCTGTCAGATGTCCCAGGAAGGACCCACCTAGTAGAGTGCAAGTTGAAAGTCACGACCGACACTCCTATTCAAGTCCATCAGTACCCCATACCATTCTCCATCCAAGAAAAGGTACAGGAGGAAGTAAAAGAAATGCTACAACGGGGCATCATTGAGCCCTCCGAGTCACCTTATCAAGCACCCATCGTGATGGTAAAGAAAAAAGACGGGACAATGCGACTCTGCATTGACTTCAGACAACTTAACAAGGTCCTGATTCCCGACAGTGAACCTATCCCAAGAGTGGACATGATGTTTGCAAAGTTGGGAAAAAGCCGGTACTTCTCTAAAGGATACTGGCAGGTTCCGATGCACGAAGATTCAAAGCACATGACAGCGTTTTCTTCGACGTCTGGATTTTATCAGTTCCGATTTATGCCCTTTGGCATCAAAACAGCACCAGCTGTATTCACCCGGCTTACGAGAAAAGTGGTCGAGGGGGTCTCGAACATCTACCACTACTTTGATGATGTCCTCATCGCCACGGAGTGCTGGGAGGAGCATTTATCGACTCTGGAGTTGTTCTTTCAGCGCGTGAAGCAGGCGGGTTTAACGATCCGTCCCACAAAGAGCGAAATTGGCTTCGCATCTGTCAAATTTCTTGGCCACATCGTTGGACATGGTTTCCTGCGCCCTCAAGTCGAGACCCTGGAGAAAGTGCAAGCTACCAATCGGCCCGAGACAAAAAAGGAAGTGCGGTCTTTCCTTGGCCTTACGGGCTACTATAGGGATTTCGTACCCCAGTACTCTGAAATCTCTCACCCCCTTACGGAGTTGACACGTAAAAGAGCACCAAACAAGGTGCATTGGCGGAAGAGCGAACAGGCGTCTTTTGACAAACTAAAAGAACTACTGTCCAGCCAGCCCATCTTAAAGCCCCAGAATTATCAGAACCTTTCGTGTTGCGTACCGATGCTTCGTCGAGAAGTATAGGAGCCGTACTCATGCAGCGCCATAATGATGTTCTCCACCCCGTATCGTACACCGGTCGTCGACTGCTGCCACGTGAAGCTGTTTACTCGACAGTGGAACGAGAAGGACTAGCCATTACTTGGGCGGTTAAGAAGTTTCATGTGTTCTTATTTGGAAGACCATTCATTCTGTAAAGTGATCATAAGCCACTCGTTTACATCAATTCTGCAAAGCATGTAAACAGTCGCGTATTACGTTGGAGCCTAATGCTGATGGAATATGACTTTACTGTTGAGTACATTAAGGGTAGTAACAACGTGGGCGCTAATTACATGAGCCGCATGTCTGTTGCTGAATAAGGTTTTTTTTTTTTGTAAACGAACAATATCACGAATTCACTGAATTTTTGAAATTGTATGTGTGCCCGGCGGTGCTTATTAAGTGACTTTTGTAAATGTATGTACTTTTGTGTCTGTCAAAACTGATGTGTTTTTCAATGTGCATTGTGTTGTGATAGACTGCGAACAATATGACTTCAACGTGCTAGAAGTTGTTTCAGCTGAACAACATTCTCAAGTGGGGGTGACTGTGGTGATTTTGGGGTCAACAAGGTGGGAGCAAGAAAATGAAGAAGAGAAAGAGACAAGAGCAAGCAGTTGGCACGAGAAAAAAGACCGAGACGAGAGACGAAGACGAAAAAAAAAAACGTTCTCGGGACGGACAGGGCAATCATCAAGCTCACGGGGGCTAAGGCTTGCAGCTATACGCAAGGTTTTCACCCCACGTCGAAGTCTTGCAGCGTTACGCAAGACCTCGTTCCGCCAAGACGGTACTACCAAACCCGGACTCCGCCGCTGCACCACCAACGAGGAACTGAACTCTGATGAAGCTCGCCGCATCTGTGAACTGTAAGACTTCCATTAGTATATCGTTTCTTTTTTTTCCCCCTCCTTTTTTGTACTTATGTCATTCGCGCTTATATCTTGTGCTTTTTGTTTTAATCATTGTATTACCTGTCGAAATCTAAAGTTTATTTTTCTTTCTATCTATCAAACTGGTCTCGATATCCTTTCTCTTCGCGTCGCATACCTGCGAGAATGAAATAGTCCACCACAATGACTGTTCCCTTGATTTCAAGAGTCACACAATAAAAGTAAATGACAGATTCATCAGCTAGTTCTGTTAATACGCAGTTTGGTCGAACAAATGTGCATCGGTACTGAGCTTTAAGTCTACTTTGCTTTCATCACAGAGTAAAATTATTACCTTGGTGATACGTGCGAACTTCGCCGAAGGAGATGTCATATGGAATATTGTTCTGGAGGTTATATTCTGTGAAATTCTTTCACAGCATATATTAAGGACCGACTGGCATTGAAAGAAGACTTTACATTTTTTAACCACACTATGCATCCACAAGACGGGATCATTCTAAAAAAATACCGGGGAATTTCGTTACAGCACTGAGTGTTTGTCATTGTAATTTTTTGTTGAAACCATTAAAGAGTGGAATACACTTAGGGAAGAAATTGTATTTCTTAGTGATAATGATCTCTTTTATGATGAACTGCAGTTCTGTATACACGATTAAAATTTGTTTTATTGTTTTTTTTTTTCGTTTATCTATGGCGTGATGTATTCTGTACCCCCCTGCATAATGCCCAACGCAAACCAGGTATTCATGTAAATAAAAAAATAATTCCGAGAGCACTTCGAGTTCAGTAACAACTATGACTCCTACCCGCTTTGATAGGTCAGAAAAACGTTTCACTTCTCAAAGAAGTATTGCAATTCTAAATCATTTCGTGTTCTGAGTATTACTCGGCTGCAAGCCCATCTAGCCGATCTTACACCAGATAACCTGTCGATGTTCTAACCAAAACCAGATCGTCATTTCAATTATCCCCTAACATTTTTAAAGTTTCGAATATTTTTTTTCAAATAGTGGAAGCTACGTAGTGCAGCGATATTACCTTCAGAGGTGCCCTAGCACGCTTCTGCAGTGCATGCCGTAAGATCTTATCACACTATATAGTCAGGGCTAGAGCAAGTAAATGACGAAATGAGAGGGCCGGATGCCTTTCACTTTCTACTTTTACCGAGCAGACCATACAACGAGCAGTAAATGCCTTTATTCCTTGACTCGCTGAAGTTTCTTCAGCGAAAAAGCGCGAAACGCCCGTTCACGTAACCATGCAACTACAACCATTACTGCGCACTTCTCTTTCCTCTTCCCGCAAACCCTTCAAGAGCGGCGAACCTCACGAATCTTTCGAAGAGCTATCGTTCCACGAATTTCAAGCAATGCTATTTTAAAAAAAAAGCTCCAGTACCGCCTTACTGACAAATTTTAAGTACGGTTAATCTCTGTCATTGTCTCCGTACAGCCTAGCAGCGCAGTGTTCAACATACCAATGCTCGTTCGCAGACGCCGCGTGAGGGAGGCGTGCCTTGATATGCGACATGATCTATGAAACATTCGCGCACAATTGTATTTGTCAAGTTTGAGGTTTATGAGTTTAAAATATGTAAGGAACATATTTTTAAGAAGAAAAATATTTCTTGAGCTATTGGGTGACAAAAGTCACCAGGCTCAATATAAAATTGACCGTAAAAGTCGTATGCATATAGCAATCTAAACTTTTCGTCAAAGATGTATTTCATAGGTCGCTTTTTTCTTGTTCAATTACAATGCGTAGCTGTTTTTCTGTAAAACATAGGGCCGCGAAACTTGCCGTTTACTTGACAATATGTAGACGAAACAGTGCTTTACCTTCGTGCGTTCCAGTTATATGCGAGCCTGAGGAATGTCCAGCACACCCACTTTCATGCTAAAATAGTGTACAACTTGTTTTTCTTTTTTATCCGAAGTTTTTACCATTTCGCAATTCCGAGACGCCCGAATTGAGAGCTCTTGGAGACCGAAATTTTCGCATGCTTTCAAGTGGGCCTAAATTTTGAATTCGCTTGAATCGCAATCATTAGGGGCTCGCTAATAATAAATGTTAGACGGTGCTCCAAACTTCGGGAGATGCCGCAAGGTGCAAACTGCCTAACATAAAAAAAGACCACCGACGTTTCACTTTCACTGCGAATAAGTGTTTGAAAGCGCAGTCCAATTCGTTGCAGGAACCAGAATGATGCCGAGATTAACTGTTTTCCTATTGACCACACTATATTCCGCCACGAGAGTAGGGCGATAAGCTCTGTCTACTTTCAGTGTGTGACACCAACCTACATCTCGCTTTATCTTCTATTTTGAACATTTTTCTGAACCTATTAAACTGTTTTACTACTACCGACAGGCACGTAGCCAGGATTTCGTTTCGGGGGGGGGGGGGGGGGGGGGGCGCCCATGACAAAATACTGTATGAGGGGGAGTGGGGAGAGGAGGCCCCAACAAAATATAAGATTTCGGGGGGCTCGTGCCCCATGGGCCTCCCCCCTGGCTACGTGCCTGACCACCGACATGGTCCCTTGAAGAAATTGCGAACAGGCACAGCGCTAATAATCTCTAAAACATGTTTATCCACACAACTGCCTGCAGAAATCTTTTGGGGTATTGTAAAAGGGCACGCAATGATTAAAAAATTATCTCCTTCCCATACGAAAAAGCCAGACGAGGCAGCGTCTCACGTCGTGTCTCGCCGTCGGAATCCGGTACACTGTTAGCAAAAAATAACACGCCCAGACGTGTAAACCGTTGTCCCATAGCGGACACGTCGAAACGTGTTCGTTTTACACGAGGCCGTCTGTGTTTTTCGTCTACACATGAGGTGCTGTGTAAACTTAACACGCTACAACGTGTCTGCCTGCCGCAAAACCGTTTCGAGCGTGTTCCTTATGAAACATGGCGGCCAGCGGCCGAGAACAGGCGAGAGACGAGCCCAGCGAGGTGCGCGCCTTTCAGCCGAATTCAAAGCACACAGGGCGCGTTAGTTCTCGTTCGATGTCTTTTTATACAGAGTAAAGTCTCCAAGCGGCGGACGTAGCTACTTGCAAAGGTACGTACGTGCGTTGTCAGCGGCCGGCGGCGTCGGTAGCTTCAACAAGCCGCTAAACAAAAAAAAAAAAAAAAAAAAAAAAAAAAAAAAAACGAATGTCGAACTTACATGGATAAATAACTTGAGCAAACTATTTAGAAGCGGGCGGTAACTTGCGCCACCTATCAAGATTTCTAGCAGCCTGTTTTTTAAAAAAAAAGACGAGTCTGTTAACACTGCGAACGACCACGACTACACAGCAACCCTACATACAACGCAGGCAACACAACACACAGCTACACAGCACCGACATGTACACACACACACAACAACCGACACTACGCCCGACACTTCCTATTCGATATCCATCTCTTCCCGCGGCGCATATAAGCTTGACATGTGCGGGTGAGCTCTTTGGTCGCTGACCATTACAGATTTATAGAAGAATACACAAAACACGGCGTAATGGGCAGCCGTGTGTTAGAACTGTTTGCATTTAAAAAGTATGGAGGCAAAATCTATAATGTTAGTCCGTTGCAATAAATAACGATATGTTAAAAATAAATCTTAAACCGGTCATGAAAAAGTTCAAATTTTTGTTATTTTCTTGCTTGACCAGTGTTATGAGCAGTCCGACTAGCTTGAATCAGATAGGAAAACAAATTATTGAGATTTTGTCATTACGTATACAATAATAAATGAAAATGATCCTTGCGCAAAGCATTTTTTATATATTTTTATGAAGGACATCCGGACATCCGCCCAACACTTCACTTCCGCTAGTTGCAGCAGTTGCAGTACGGGAGCAGACGCCTTCACTTTTGGAGCGTTTTGATGCAGTTTGTTGTCGTATGCTCATTTTTGTGCCATCAAAGAGGGGGTGACAACGTTGTCACCCCCTCTTTGATGGCACAAAAATCCTTGGGGGCATGACAGCAGATTCGGCAGGGAAATCATAGAATCATTCGCCATGACCACAGCAAAAAACAACGTGTCAAACCCTTCCCTCCTGCTGACGAAAACTGAGGTTGAATTTTTAAAATCCGAGATAACCCTACCACCCTGACTTGCACTTCGCGTGTTTTATCTTTCCTTCTCTCCCCTCCTCTCCCCTACTCCTACTGGGTATAGTCGGCTGCTCGCTGTTGAAAATTTACTCGTCTGTTGCTAGTTGAAAGATGTAGTTGTGTTGTCCCTGTTTTAATTGTTTATTCTTTCTTCATCCATGACTTCAACCAACACGCTCTTCTACTAAGCATACATTCACTTCCGAGGTTACTCTCGCCGCTTCCTCACCGTTGAGCAGCAGGATGAGCTGGCGACAAGCCGCGGATGAAAGGCTTGAGCATCAACAGCCCAAGCGCACTCGGTGCCGATACGGGCGGAGCGGGTTTCTGTCAACCGGGAGGCCAGCACAAACCGTGACCGTTCCAGCTCTTCGTCATGACAGGGTGTTGCAGAGAGCAGGGTAAAATACAGCTACACGGATCACCGAAGCAAAGACTGCTATCTTAAATCTTGGCTTGTGATTGCGCCTTTGTAGTAGATCATCTTATTCGTTTTGCTGGAGATACGCAAACGATGGGCATAACAAAATCGCTTGCATATTCCGCATATCTCACAAAAGCATTTACCCTGTCACCTTGCGAAAAGCGCGAAACACGGAGCCCGCACCGTCCTAAGCTTCCCGTTTTTTACCTGCTTTAGAGCAGTTTGTACCTGCTAGTAGATATGCCTACTGAAACTGAAACAGGGCAGTGCCAGAGAGAGAGAGACAAAGTTGGGAAAGCTTGCTCGCTCTCCAATTTCTCAACTCTCAAGTGATTGTACCATAATAAATGCACCAACGCGTCTTCCAAACTAAAGAAAGAGCACTACGTTCACAACATAAAAAATGGTCTCAGTACATGCATCTGTGGGCAGGTAGGAAACCTAGCCCTAATTTATTCACGCCGCATGATTGGCGCAACAAACTCGTTGCAGGACCAAATCATCTACTCGAGCGGTGTGCGTCGCTATGCAAACGCAGTCCAACATGAAGCATAAAAAACGGCAGATTTAAGACAACAATCCGGAGTCCATTATTCAATTAAAACAACGTAATTTTGTTGAAAACGCCCGCTGCTTCTTACTCACGGTATGTGTCGGGATACTTCCACAGTTTGAAACGGAACGAAGGAAGATTTACTTTTAAAAACGCTCGCTGCGTCCTCCCGGACCAGCTGGACCGGATCAGCTGACGACGACGGGACTGTACCCGCTGAACCTCCACCACGCAACAAACAATTTTCGCTCCGTGTTAAAAGCGTGGTTCAAACAGACCCGGAATACAAAGCACCGCACCACACACGACGAATGTTTCAGCTCTTTTTCGCATCGCCGGGTTGCACCGAACAGAACGAGATCGCCGAAGTCAACGCCGCGCTGTCGTGAACCTTGGCTTGTGGTTGCGAACTCGTGGACCCTGTGACTCCCTTCGCTTTCAAAGCACACACGACGATTACGAATGCTACTTTCCGTCTTCCAGGAACATCACAGGGGCACTTCTCCGGTCACGTCTTAACTATGTGTTCGCAAACTCCGAAGCTCTATGCGAAGCTTCTCGCGTCCGGTCAAACCAAAACAGTAGCGGCGCCATGCGTACTTGCCAGATTTTCTCCGGTCAAACAAAAACAACGAAAGCCAACCGGCGCTTGCTTCCAGCGTGCATCGGCGTTGCGCTTGCGCCGTGGCCAGATCGCTTGCAGTTGAAGGTTGAAGCAAAAACGAAACCAACTGCAATGTCACGTGTTCACATCGAGGACACGCTTTTTATATCCATTTTAACTGTTTGGAACGAATAATTAGACCCATGACTTTATTTGTGGTGTCTAAGAAACTCTTATCAGGACCCCTAAACTAAATACAAACATGGGCGACGTGAGGGAAGCCGCATTGCCATCGACCAGAAGATGGCGGCGAGCACGGTAAGCGCGGGTTTCGCCAACGTCCTGCGACATGGCGCAATTGCTTTTGGTGCATATCTGTCTCCGAGACATGTTTCTTTCCGCGGCATTTGTCTCGACGGTCCTTTCTAAGTGTGTCCCCAAGCATTCCGGTGCTTCGATAGCCGGCAATGCCACGGTCGTCGCCGGGGGCGATGCGTGTTATCGAGGTCGGCTACACGGTTATGCGTGTATGACCGAACCAAATCACGTTTTTTACAACCTCGCATGATTTCTGAACGAATTATTTGTTACTCATCGTGTAAAGTTATGGTAATTTGTGTAAACAGCGTGTTTTTCACCCCAAATATTCGCGAAATACACGGGATTTGCTAACAGTGTACAAGCTCTTGCCGCTGTCTGCGCGATTTGTGCACTTGGTAACACTACAGCCTGCCATTTTCACGGGGCTCTTTCTACGCGCATGCGAAATTTAATGAGGTAAACGACGCAGCGGCTGACGAAAACGCCGTCCCCCCGCTTTCAAACGAGAGCTTGCCGACTCGCCAAGATGGCCGGATGTGCCGGTCGCGTATCGGTATCGCGTATCACCGTCACTCCACGAGAGCCACAGACGCGGGGAACGCGACCGTCGTCCGTCATGTCTGCTTCACATACCCTGAAAACGAATGCCCCAAAACATCGCTCGCGTTATAAAAAAAAAAAAAAACGGGATTCTACTGCACCCAGTTGATACACAAGATTCAATGACTTAGAAAGCGTTCGGTTCGTTCGATTTTGGTCTAGGACCTATATTTTGCGAACGCGAAGCGGAAAATATGTTCCCCCCGAAACTCGGCGCTCTGGAAGGCCGCTTTCCCGCACGAAGTTTGGATCCAGTTCTGCGCACGTGACCACTCCTCCGCCAATACAGAGATGGCGGCGAAAGAATTGAAACGCGCTACTCGGGCTCTGCAAGCAGAGCCTATACAGTTACTCTAATCGTGAGGGTTCTCGACCACCGTGGTTTATTAAAATGAACATAATATTTTTGAAATATGCCTTTGGTTAAAAAATTATTACGGGCCATAAAAGCAAAGCTTAAAGTAAAAAAAAAAACAAAAAAAAAACGCGGCTGCATAAAGCGCGAAACACATGTACGACGAAACCGTCCGATCCGACGTGCGGACTGCAGGAATGACTTTGAGGGGAGAGGGATTTCGTAGCATCGGAGAGCGTTGAAAACCCTCGCCTCCGACCGTCGTATCGCGCGGTCGGACGTCGGATCGGACTGTTTCGTCGTACATGTGTTTCGCGCTTAACGACGGCGCTTTTGGCGCCGACGGATTTCGTCTGCGTGTCATCTGCGTTTTTTAGCTGGTCGGCTGCACCCACTGATTTCCATGTCTAATTTCTGGATCGCATTTGGCCAGCTCCGCCTATGGACGGGAATGCAGCCACGGTCGGCCATCTTTTTGGTAGAGTTATATCATCTCTAGCCATCATAGTAATATGGCGGACAGTGCAATGGAATGCCATAAAATGGCCGCGGACCTAGTACACTGTACCGTGGGTGATATTTCGTGCTTGATTGAAGTTTTTCGACGACGCAGATTCTTGAACTTGGGTTGCCAAAGGCATGGTAGCGCTTTTTAGACGAGGACAAATGAAAGAAAAACCAGACAGACACAAGCGTTGACTGCAACTATTTAATCAACATGGCTCGTGTCTGTCTTGTCTTTCTTTCTTTTGCCCTCGTCTAAAAAGCGCTATACCATGCATTTGGCAACCCAAGACCAATACCAACTAGCCCAGCATTCAACATTGATAAGATTCTTTAAACTCGGCGTGTGGGTAGACTCATCTTTGAGCACCCGGCGAATGTTCTACGAAAGCGCAGCACCGGGGGAAAGCAGCGCAGCTAGCATCGAAAGCAGACTCCGTACTGGCGTCTGCTTTCGGTGCTTCTTTCGATGCGACTTTCGATACGTGCTGTGCTGCTTTTCCCCGGTGCTGCAATATCGTGAAACATTCACCGGGTCCTCAAAGATCTGGCTACCGCTCACGCCGGGTTTCAAAAATATGTTTCGTCAAACGATTTCAATCAAGCAGGAAATATTACCCACGCTATTTTGATGGCAGCCTGCCACCCCTACTGCCACAACTCTGTCTGCCATGGATGAATGATAGTGGCTGCAGTAGCTATACCTTTGCTAGAGGTAATATAACTCAACCAAAAAAATGGCCGCCAGTGGCCGCATTCGCGGAGCGGGCAAACACGATCCAACAATTGTCAGTGAGATCAGTGGCTGCACCTTCGGACGCTGCTCCCGACGCCATCTATCAAAACGAACGCCTAACACACTCGCAAACAGATAGTCCATAGTTTCTTGGCCCTATTTTCTACAGAAAAAGAGCTGCCCTTTGTAATTTTACAAGAAAAGACCGACTTTTGATTTACACCTTTGACGAAAAGTATAGATTACGACATGCGAGCGTCGATTTTCACGGTCCATTTTAGATAGAGCCTGGTGATTTGGATTACCCTATATATGCAGAAACGACGATGTGGGCTGCAAATTGAACTCCTTAGCACGTTTTGGTTTTGTGGAGCTGTTAAATATTTTAAGTATGATTGTTCAGTATATTACATTAATCATGTAATGTATATCGACACAGACAGACAAAACCTTTTTTTTATATAAAAGGAACAACGAAGAAGGAACGTTAAGGGGCGTTGTGTACGTGCTTTATGTATATATATATGGAAGAAAACGCACCTGAGACGGTGGTTGGAGTTTTTAAAACATATTATTGGTAAAGTTGGTCGACGTTTCGGCCTGAGCCAGACCTTTTTCAAGACTGGCACATGAGAGGTCAGATTGACGCTCCTTGACCACGTCACGTGGCATTCCAAACATCTGGTTTCTCTCAAGAGTTGACGGTACCCCCGACACAGGCGTCGCCCCCCTCGCGTAGATCTTACTCTGGTGAAAGAACTCGCACCATGTCGGAAAATCTAACTAAAGCAAAGCGGTGTGGGAGGGAGGAGGAAGGCAGCCACAGGAACAGCAGGCGCCAAACACTCGCCGAAAAAAAAAAAAAGAAGAGAACAGCTCTTGAGAAAAATGCTCTGAGCGGTGTCCGAGTGGTGGACCAGCCGCCCCCTCTGTCCGTGAAAAAAACACACATCTACGCATCCCCCCTTCACGTAATGAACAAAGTTCTGGCTGTCCTTTCGAGCCTGGTTCTTGAATTAAACAGTTTTGAATTCGACGGCAAATTTTTTCTTCAAACTAGAGGGACCGCAATGGGCACGAAAATGGCTCCGAACTTTGCAAATATATTTATGGGCGACCTCGAATCAACCTTTCTCGCATCCTGTCCGCTCCAACCGATGTTTCTACAGGAGGTACATTGATGACCTATTTTTTATCTGGTCACACTCAGAAAATGAGCTTCTCAAGTTCATCGCAGATTTTAACTCCGCGCACCCTTCCATTCGCTTCACACACAGTTACTCGAAAACTGACATTAATTTCTTAGACGTTAGAGTAATAATTAAGAACACAACTCTGGTCACTCAACTGTATCGAAAGCCCACGGACAGCCAGAGATATTTGCACTTCGACAGTTGCCATCCTCGACCTTGCCGAACCAGTATTCCGTACAGCCAGGCTCACAGGTTTAAACGTGTATGTTCTAATAATGATGATTTTGACTCCCACGCCAATCAACTACGCGAGGTTCTAAAAGAACAGAAGTACCTAGAAAAATTCATAAATGACGCAATTAGTAAGGCGCGCGCCCTCGATCGCGACCTCTTGTTAGGTGACAGCGGTTCCCAGGCGGAGACAAGCCGACAGGCCAGCCTCGTGCTGACCTTCAGCAAGAAGTCTCCGAATGTCACCGCCATATTAAGGAAACATTTTAATATTTTGCAACAAAGTGAACGCCTCGCAAAAGTTGTTACTACCGTCCCCCGTGTGGTGTACAGACGCTCGCGCAACATTAAGGATTCTTAGTCAAGTCCAAGATAACTGCCACTGAGAGCACTGGGAGTCGGCCATGCGGAAAGTCGGGATGTGGGGTCTGCCCACACGTAACACCGAGAAACTCCATAGAGACAACAAACTCCAACTTCACCTACAAAATT